GTCTGTTCAAGTCCTTGGCCCCCTCTTTAATTAGGTTGTCTTTTTGTTGGGTTGCAAGAATCCCTTGTCTTTTAGGTGCCTGTTCTTTATCAGATGGCATTTACATGCAGTGCTTTATCATTTCAGTGCTTAGATCTTTCACCCTGTGGCTTAAATTCACTCTTATTCTTCTGGATACTGTTAGAAATGGGATTGTTTTCCATTGTAGGGTTAATTAGTGTTGAATGATTTTTAAAATGTTAAAGGCTAACCAGAGTGTCAGCCTGATTTCTCAGTTTGTGTTAGTGTCTTGGGCCGCCATGAATAATGTGAGACTGATCATGGGGCATTCCTGAGATTCTTCGGAGGCCTCATAGTTTGTATTTGGTCTTGGACACATGGCAAACAGTGTTAGAGCTTTTATTTCAACAGTTTGTTGTGATAATTACCTTCCCAGTGAGTGTCTGTTTGCCTGCCTGCTAGTGCCCCTCTTTCTACAGGAATCTCCCTTTAGCTATTTAGAAGGACTCAAAGCTTACTTTCTTAGGATATATTGGGTTTTGTCACATCTTATTTCACTTTCGCTGTCCTTCCTGGCTAGTTTTCTTTTTTCTTGCTACATTGTGATTTCAACCTTCTTATATACTTTTTGAATAAGACAATACTTAAGTGAATCAAGGGAAAATGTGAGCCACGGCTGCTAGGCACTGTTTTGAAAGCTTAGCCATTCAGAGACACAAGTATCAGTTTATAGAAAAGCACAATAATTAATTTGTTCACTTCATGTTTACTTACAGTAAATGCTCAACTTATTAAAGGACCACTTAAATAGCTACAACTGTATAGTACAAGTAGCTTATTTTTAGCCCGTCTTTTTCTGAGTCTGGTTTGAATGGTGATTTTCCCTAGATTTTCAGTTTCCCACACTTGAAGGTTTCTCAGCATCACTTGGATCTTGACCGCCAGTCAGTGTAGCCATGTTTGCTTCCAGAGGAGGTGAGGCTTCCGAAGGTAGTGTTTAGAAGGCTGTCTGGACTCCTGGGTTCTGGGAACCCCTAGTCACAAGGCAGAGGTAGAGGGTGAGGCCTTCAGCCTTGGAGGGGAGCTGCGAGCTCTCCAGGCCTGCGTGGTACCTAGAAGAGCAGTGGGGCTGGTTTCCTTCGGTACCTGCGCAATGCTAATCAAGCTGTAGTCTCTTTGCTGTACACTGACTCTGTTCTCTAACCTTCCCGGTGTAAGGGTGGCTACAAGTGAAAATTCAGCAAGGAGTGCTCGCTGCCTTTAAAGGTGTTAGATTACATAGCTGCTTGCTGAAGTTAAATGTAAGGAAACCAATCTAAGTTCATTTGTGTCTCACTGAGAATGAGGAACTCCTGATTACTGAAGACACAACCCAAGCCTGAAGTCTATCCAATTTCTCAAGGCAATTTTTCGCAGAGCCACTTGGCTCAACATACGTTCTTGTCCCAGTTCTAGAAACTGCACCTGTGACAGCTTTCGCTGCCTGTGGAAGAGTTTCCTGCATCTCTAACTAAGCTCCCTAGCTCCCATGAACAAGCAAAACCCTCATTGGATAGTGTAGGCTCACACACTCTTCACTTAATTTATGTGTGTCTATGTATCTATATACAAATGTTTGCATAGACCTACCTGTATATAATCAGTATGTTTGAGTTTTCAGAAACTTTGCAAGATTGCTTTCCAATTTTTGAAAAATCTTGTAGTCTAATGATTTCCCAGTAAAGGGCAAGAACAAATCAGTTTGTTTGAGAGTCTCTCCTAATTTCTGTGCCTGAACTTAGCCAATATTGGTGACTTGAACAACCCCTGACCCCAGTAGCCTTTGTTTTGTTTGTGATGAGGGTATAGATTAAATAGTAAAGATGGTCCTATCTCCAGATGTTTAAGAAGGAAAATGTGTGTTTGTCAGGAAGGATTATAGTAGCAGGCAGACATCTCAGTTAAGCAGAGACAGTAAACTCACACAGTGGGGTATGCATGTTGTGGAAGACAGTGACTTTCACGTACTGCCCCTGGGAGCCCTGTTTTGTTTTGTTAGCTTCTAAACTGAATGCCTGTGCTCGTTGTGGTTTATTTTAGGAAGGAGAAGAACCTGAAGGTTGGACAACACAGTTGAGTTTGAGAAGCCGTTACAGTGTATTGTGAAATGCCGTTTGTGAAATGCCGTTTGGAATGGCTTTGATGACAGTGAGGAGAGAGACCAAGCATGTGAAAGTCATTTGGCGCCTTTTGAAATCAAGGCCAGGAAGAAAACACTGTCTAGCTGTAAATCACTTACTTGCCCTAAACTCCTTAAAGCATTTTACACAGATGGCTTTAACAGTTTTAAGGGTCATGCCTGGGGTTAAGAGACTGTTGGCATGGTAAAAATTTTATTGATTAAAAAGCCATACTTCATTGATGCCCTGTCCCGTGAAATACTTGATGTTTTACCTGTTGAGGAAGGATTGCCCCATAAGTCAATATTGTACTTGTTGGTTTTATGCATTACACGGCCATATGGTATTTAAAAACTTAATACTTAAAATGTAATTATGACAAAAAAGAGAATGCAACAAAAAATTCAATAAGATTACCAAAATCATTGCAGAATAATAATGACTGGTAACAGCGGATGCTGCGTGTTTGTTATGCCGTGGGTGGCTTTGCACATTTTTGTAGGTGTTAGTTTAATTTTTAAGCCTGACCCTAGGAAGTAGGCATTGTTGTAACTGTTGGGAAGCAAGGCTTGGAGAGGCCAAGAGAGCTCATTGCTGGAGGTCACACAGAGACCTAAGACCTGGGGGAGACCATGCTCCTAGCACTTCTCCACAGAGCCAAGTGCATTGATCTTTGGAAGTCATGGATAGAGCCTGATTCTTTACGAGTGAGTCAAATCAGATAAGGATATAAAGGCAATGCCTGTAAGCATTGGAAATCAATGCCTTCAGTGATTGGCAAATAAGTTTAAATTCTATTTTAAAATAAAATGATGTCATACAGCGAGCCCTTGTTTTGGTGAGGGGAGATGCTGGGGATTGAACCTAGGGCCTTGCACATGCTAAACCTGTGCTCCACCATTCAGCTGTGATCCATGTCAGCCTCTTTTTTAATACTGCCAGCGTATGAGACTTAGTTCGTGAGGGCAGAGATAACACAGAGTTCAATGACTTGGTGTATTATCCATGAACTTGCAGTGAACTCATTGGGAATTTTACTTGAATATCTGCCTCTTCTGCTCTGCTCCTGTGCCCCCCACCCCCGCCATATACTTGCTAACCTGCATATGTGCACACTGATTTTCTTTCCTCCACTGCTTCCTCTCCTGTATCTTAGATTTTACTCTGATGTGAAAGGGGAATTATACTTATATGTAAATTCACTGACTGGGCCACAGAACCTGTCTTCTTTTGCCAAATAAAGTGGCTCATTTCTTTTGAGTTTTGCTCCAGCCTGTCAGTTCTCATGACCAGCAGCGCAACACCCATCAGGAGAAAGCAAATAAACAACACTGCCCTTGGAGCCAGGAAGTCTCATCTCACACTGAAACCCATTGCTTTGGGTTGACATTTGGGGGGTGGGCTGCTAAGTAAATGGGAGCTATGACTACCAAGCAGGAAGCTGAGATTCCTTCATTTTGGGGGAGACTGATGAATCGGGGGTCTTTGAAAGGGTGTCATTGTTTTAGTTACATGGCAATCAGTTTGTGATGAAATATTAATTCAAACCATGTCATAGGTAACGGTTCATAGTGGCAATCTTCAACTTGCCTTACACACGTGCTTCATTGCATTCATTGCATTCATGGCTGCAACTTAGTTGGTAGAGTGCTTAGATAGTATACACAAAGCTCCATTTACATCCCCAGTACTGCATAAAACTAGGCGTGGCAGATCACCTGGGGAGTTTCAAACCAGCTTGGGCTACATGAGACTTTGTCTCAAAAACAGGTGAACAACAACAAATTCACTGAATTAAATTTTTGAAACTAATCTTAGTTTTAATGTGTTACTTTGAGAAAGTAGAAGTTAATTTGGCCTGAACATTTCTAATAATGCCTAATTTAAAAGTTTAAAATGATTTACTTTTCTCCAGACTTTATAAGAGACAGATCAAGCAAAGTTGGTTTGATTTGTGGGGGGTGTGTGTGTGTGTATATGTGTGTGTTTGTTGAATTGAAGATTGGATCTTCACATATTAGGGTTCTACACATATCGGACAAGTGCTCTACCACTAAGCTATATCCCAAATCCCCCTTTAAACAACAAAACAAAAAAGCTTTTTATTTTGAGATAAGGTCTTGTGAGGTTACCCAGGCCAGTTTTGAACCTGCAGTGTAGCCCGGGCAGGCCTTGAACTTGTGATCCTCCTTCCTCAGCCTCTCAGTAGTTGGGATTATAGACTTGCACTGCCAGGCCAAGTTGGTTTGGAGCACTTTTTATTATATTTAAAAAAATTTTTGTGTATAAGTGTTTTGCCTGCCTCTGTATAAGTACACCCATGTCATGCAGTGTCTATGGAGGTCAGAAGAGGGCATCGGATCTCCTGGAACTGGAGTTACAGATGATTGTTAGCTGCCATGTAGGTGCTGGGAACCAAACCTGGGTCCTCTGCAAAAGTAGCCAGTGCTCTTAACCACTGAGCCATCTCTCCAGCCCCTATAATACATTTTATGAAGTCAAAAGTGGAGAAAAAGAAAAAAGAAAAGGTTTTACTCCTCTGGTAGGCTGATTTTAGAGTAGTCTTGGTTTATGGAATTTGTGGCTTTGGAGAGTCATTAAATATCCATGAAGATGGTTATAGCCTTCTTGTTTTTGCTGCTGTTTTGTTTGTTTCTTTAAGTTTCAAAGCTGGAAAATGCTCTCACCCATGGTGTAGTTGTAGGTAGTTATGTTAAGGTATTACCGAAGAGAGACAAGGCAAATGGTCGCCCTCAGTTTTTGTAGCGCATTAAAAACACCAGCAATGGCTTTCAAGTGATATCTCTTCATCTCCTAATGTTTTGCTCTTTCCTCTTTCAGGACCTGCAGAAGTTCCCATGATGTCACCCAATGGGTCCATCCCTCCCATCCATGTGCCTCCAGGGTATATCTCACAGGTAGGACAATCAGTGCGGATCTTCACTCACTATGAACAATGTTATTATTCCAACAACGTGTAAGTGGCTTCCAAAGTGAGCTCCATGTGTTAGCTCAGTCACGGTAACTCTAAGACTCCCATTGTTTGTGTGCCATCACTTGACAAGTGCCAGAGTCAGAGAGAAGGAAGCAGAGGACCAGAGGCCACCTCCCTGAGGCCACTTCCCTGAGGCCACCTCCCTGAGGCCTGAACCACACAGCCACCTTGGAGTCTCCTGTTTTAGAATTTGTTCTCATCTGTCACATGCCTTTCTGGGAGACAGTTTTTTTGTGTTGTAATAGGTAAAAACATCAAAGGTGACAGTGGTAAAGCAAGGCCTGCCATCTGTTATGAGACTCTCCTTTCTGCAGTGCCACACGAACTGGGGGTGGCGAATTACTGAGTGTAATGGAGGACCTTGGCAATTTGTTTTCTTTTGTTTGAGATTGAACTCACTATGGAGCCCAAGATAACCTTGAACTCCTGATCTTTCTACTTCTGTTCCTCTTGCCTCCATCTCTTGAATGCTGGGATTACAGGCGCGCATCACCATGTCCAGCTCAAGAAAACTGTTTTAAAGAATAAGGTTATACTCTTGTACCTGGATAACATGTAAAAGGTTTGGGGTACCTGGGGTGTAAGCAAGGAGTAAGATGTTTAGTGTACCTGGGCAGTAAGGTAAGATGTTTGGGGTGCCTCAGATCTATGGGTGTCTGTGTATACTTGAGTGTTAGTCCTAGATTTAGCTAATTATTGTATCTTGCTGTTTCTTACTAATTCACCTTTTATTTTTTTCATGTTGACTTCCTTTGTTGAATGTTCTATAAGACCATAGAATATATATTGGTGAAAAATAGGAAAAATACTTCAGGAGACTATGAAAAGGAAATATTTACAGTTTTATTGTCCAAAGAGGATAATCCTTGTTAGTATTTTTTGGGCTCTTTCTTTTTGCATTTCCCCTCCTTTTAAAATTCTTTGTCTGAGCCAAGCATGGTGGCTCAAGCTGTTAATCCCAGCACTCTGGTGGCAGAAGCAGCTGATCTCTGTGAAATCGAGGCCAGTCTGGTATACATAGTGAGTTACAGGCAGGCTAGGGCTATGGGAGACCCGGTCTTTAAAAAAAAAAATAGTCAAATAGAATTATTGCTGGGGAGAGATGGCTCAACAGTTAAGAGCACTGGCTGCTCTTACAGAGGACCTGGGTTCGATTCCCAACACCCACATAGCACCTAACAACCATTGGTAACTTCAGTTCCAGGGATCCAGTGCCCCCTTCTGACCTCTTAAGGCATTGCATGACATGGGTGCACTTACATACATGCAAGCAAAACACACATACATAAAATAAAAATAAATAAATTAAAATTCTTAGTCTGTATCTCTGCCTGTGCTATGAAAATGCTTAAAAATCAGTAATTTTCCATTTTTAAAAATGATTTTTGCTAGAATGAATAAAAATTGGCACCTGCATAGGAAAAAATGCTGACATTCAGGCAGGAATCAGAACCCCCCCCCCCAGCTGATGTAAAAAACAGAACCGTTTCTTCACTGTATGAGACATACTCCCACACTCCAGCCACTGTAATTTCTTTTTCCACCCTTTCATAAGAACCTATTTGACTATTTTTGAGTAGCCAGATTGCTGACCTGTTTTCTCACCATTGTAAATAAATTACTTGTTTTACACCAGTCTTTGTAAATAAGAATCACTGGAGGAAGAAAGGGGTGCAGACCGGGCTCATCAAGCAGGGACAGGGGATGATGGATGGAGTTCATGTCACCAGTCAGTCAACAGAGAGGAACAAGGAATGTGGTGCTCCACTCCGTCCCCTGCTCAGTTATTTTGAGGAAGTGTTTCATTCCATTGAACATAGTGTGGTTCTCACCATTGTGACAGCAAAAATCACACCTCCTTTCATGCTAAAGGCCATTTAAGGAATACAAGATAAAATGTAACATTCAGATGGGGAAGAAGCTGCTCCCAATAGTGTGTTTTTCTTACTGTAATTATAATAAATGAAGAACATTTATTGGAAATCCTAAAAAAAAAAAAAAAATGGAGGAATTTCCCTGCCATGGAATACTTCTGATTGTGAAAAACTTGGATTAAAATTAAAGTAGAAAGGATAAAAGCAGAGCTTTAAACTCATTGCAGTGAGACTTCAGTGAGGATTGAAGAGCAGCACTCCTTCCCACATGATAGTTACACCAGAAAATCCTCGAGGATTCTGAAAGTACGTTCAGAATGGAATATTTGCGATTGAGAATTGAGAAGGAAATGATTTGTAAGGTTGTGACCAACTGTGTTTTATGAACTATTTTTGAGTGCTGGGGATTTAAATCTGGCCCTCCAGTGTGTGAGACAAGTGTTCTATCACTGAGCTGCACCCTCAGCCCGCAGCTGTTTCAGTTGGCTGCTTTGATCACAACATGGGCCAAGAATTTTTTAACTTTCATTGTTAGATTGTATCTTCAATGAAATGTCAGTGAAGTATCTGAGAAAAACAGATTTCTAATATAAAGAAAATTGAATTAAAAAGCCAATAGGACGTGTGTACATCTTCTAGGGCTGGAAGCATTATACACCTCAAAGTAAGAGGGTAGAATGCAGTATAAAAAAGTCTGAGGAGACTTTGTCATCACCAAGAAATCATAGTTGTCATTGCGGTTGTGGAGAGAATCACAATATATATATATTTTGGATCTTTTTGAGACAGGGTCTCCCTGTAGCCCCAGCTATCCTGGAACTCACTATCTAGACCAGGCTGGCCTTGAACTCACAGAGATCTGCCTGCCTCTGCTGGGATTAAAGCTGCGCCACCACACCCGGCCCAAGAATCACAGAATTTAGAAAGAAAGGGAAGTCCCCTTCCAGGTTGGACATATGCACAAAGTGCTTAGAACTAGTCAATTCTGTTTTCTCCCACCTGTCCAATCCTGACGCTCACATAGGTGTCTTATTCAGGTCTAGGGTTAGGTGTCCACAGTTTTCAAGCAGAGTTCTGTGTCCTGATGGATGACACTCTTCCCCTTCGGCCTTGCTTGCCTTGGTGTGCCTTGACCTGTCAGCCCACACTACAGCTTGATGAACTTCTGTTCCCTAGGCATGCCTTGCCTTTTCTTAATTGTGTGTATTTGTGCCCACTGCTTTACTGTATGAATACACAGAGCTCTTGCTTTCTGATCAGGTGGCCCTCTTGTTAGAGGTCACTCTCTCAGACCCTCCAGCCTGAACTAGCCCTTCTGTTCTTTCAACCCCTTTGGTCTTTTGTCCCCATCTCTGTTGTAGTAAACAGTACATTTCATAACTATGCCTGAGAAGTACTATCATTACTTCATGTGGCTTGCATCTCAGCACATAGGATATTGGCTGCCTCTGCCTCCGTAGTACTGGGATTAAAGGTGGACACCACCATGCCTAGCTCATTTTCCAGTTTTATTGATTTTTGCTAGAATGAAAAAAACTGGTACTACGTAGAAAATTTTCAGATGCTAGGTAAATGTTTATAAATGAAAGTTGGGGCTGGGAGGCTAGCACAGTCGGTAAAATGTACACAACACATTTTGGTTAATGACAGACTTCATGTGTGATGATATAGCTGTAAGATTGCACCTCACATTGATCTTGTAGCTGACTTCGTTTGTGTAGGTACCTTCTGTGACGTTCATACAGAAAAGGTGCCTGCCGGTGCAATTCCTAGAACATACCACATTTGATAAGTGATTCATGACTCTACGAGCAAGGTTCAGGTAGAGTAATACAGCACCTGATAGCTAGAAAATAGCAAGATTAGAGTGGTCCATATCTGTAGTAAGGAAATGTTTTGAAAATACGTTTAAAAGAGAAAGGAGTACTGAACTGGGTGTGGTGGTGTTTGTCTTTGATCCCAGCACTCGGAGGCAGAGGTGGGAGGATCTCTGTGAGATTGAGGCCAGCCTGGTCTACACAGTGAGTTCCAGGCTAACTGGGGCTATAGGGAGACCCTATCTCAAAAATATAAATAAATAAAGAGAAAGCAGTACGTACCATGGTGGATGAATAGACAGCTCCTTTCAGCAGTTGGTGCTAGGATAACTAGCTACTCACTTATGCAAAGTAAATGGTACTGAACCTTCACCTCACATCCTATATACAAATCAACTTGCAATGGATTGGAAACAGAGACTAGAACTAAAGCTATAAGACTTTGCTAATATGGGCTGAAGAGATAACTTAGTGGTTAAGAACACTGGCTGTTCTTTCAGGGGATCTGGGTTGGGTTCCCAGCATCCACATGGTGGCTAACAATCATCTGTGATTCCAGTTCTAGGGAATCTGAAGCCCTCTTCCGGCCTTCACATGGTGCACTTACATACATTAGGCAAAACATTCATGCACATAAAATTTTAAAAAGAAAAAGACTTTGTGAATAAAAGTTCACAACCTTGGCATAGGCAAGAGATTTTTAGATATGACAAAAAAAGAATGAATGACAAAATAAAAACAGGTAAACTTAACTCTCTGCAAATTGAATTTGTGTGTGCCCCTAAAGACCACACAAGAAAAGTGGAGAGCTAAGAATGAAAGAAAACTGATGTAAATTATGTAAGAAATTTCACAACTCAGGAATAAAAAGACAGAACTCTGAAAGTGGGCCAAGGTGGCCAGGTGTGGTGGCTTACACCTTTATTCTCAGCATTTCGTAGGCTATTGCAGGAGGATTGTGAGTTCAAGGACTGCCTGGATCACAGCAAGATCCTGTCTCAATAAACAAAATGCTAGAAATAATAGCTCTGTGGTAGAGCGCTTGCCTTTTGTGCCCAAGGACTAGGGGCTTAGGTACTCTCCAGTGTGGTGAGATAAATGGCCTGTTTGAACTTAAAAAGAGGCAGCTGAACATCATTAGCCTCCAGACAGAGAAATGCAATTCAAAACTACAGTGCAGTATCGGTTATAGGAAAAAAGAGAGATAATACCAAGTTACTACGGCTGAGGAA